TTATGCAATATGCTAACAATGGTAGTCTTTTGTCTTATTTGGATCAAAATATTAACAAATTGACATGGATGGATAAATTAGAACATTTGATGGACATTACATTTCATCTAAAACATATTCATCATGAGGGATTAGTGCATTGCAATCTTCATGGTGGAAATATTGTTTTGCATAATGATACTTCATTTATTTCTGATCTTGGTCACTCACATTCAATGTTATGGAATTCACATGTGTCAACCATTCAAAGTGCTTTATCCTTTGTCGCACCAGAAGTCTTCCATACCCGCAAATTTACTCAAAAGTCAGATATCTATTCTCTTGGTATCATTATGTATTTGATTGCTACTGGTGAATTACCTTTTAGAGACAGGCAGCTTAATGGAGATTTAGTATGTGATATTATGAGTGGGTTACGACCATTGATGCCTGATTCTGCACCAGAGGAATACAAGAAACTTGCTGAGTGGTGTTGTGATGCTGATCCTGATAAGCGTCCTCATGCATGGGAACTTTTCAATAATATTTGCAAGCTTGTTTCTGAGGTGGAAGATGAGAATTCTATTAACAATAACAATGCATGGAATGCCATATATCACAGTAAAGCCCTTATAACTTACAACTCTCAGAAAGGAGAGTAAGTACTTATACTCTAGCAAGTTTGGAGATTTGCCTTACTTAAAGTGGAAACTGCAGGTATGATAATAGCAATTGTAATTGGTTTCATATTTGTATTAAGCCAATTACATGGTGATAAATGCATTAAATAAGATACGTTCAATATAGAATTGAAATAAAATTTGTGATGGGGAAAATAATACAGTATTATTATTAGCAAATAAATTCTTGTCATTACAATTATGATTTATTCAAATTACTTTATTTTGGAGGAATGGCATCTATATTTAATATTATACACATTCTAGATCTTAAAAAGGAATTCGATCAGCTAATTGTTTTAATCTTTCGTATTCAATAGCTACATTTCTATCAACTAAAAATGCGCTTTCATCGAGAGCAGTAATACGGACAGTATTCCATGAAGTTGCTCGGCTCAAAGCAACGTATGCTTGGCCTGGTGAAAAGAACTGCTTGTCAAGCACAAGGCAAACGTCAGGTAGCGTTAAACCTTGAGCCTTGTGTACAGTCGTTGCAAAACAATTTTGCAGCGGAAATTGTTTACGCGAACATAGCTTTCCATTAACATAGAAAGTAGAGACAACGCACCGGACTTCAAAGTAGTCGATAATCCCATTTTGTACTACAAATGCTACACGTGTAGTAAGATGCTCTTGATCAACATCCGTAACTACTCCTATGGTACCATTACAAATTCCCTTGTCGAAATGCTGATTGTTTAAAAACATTACACGAGCTCCTTGTTGAAGCCGAATCACCTTTGGAAGATTTGTCTTATTTTTAAACATGCAATGTGTTTCATCGACAGAACATATGGAACCATTAATAGTGTCTATTGCATAGTTGACTAAAAATTGGGATGGTGGTGTGTTGAGAAGATTGCATATGGATACGTTTATTTTCATTGCTGATTCACGGTATCCAACTATGTGTGTTGTCGTTAGAGCTGCACCACCATCAGTAATAGACATACTTTCATTTAATTTTGAACTGAGCATCCTCCAAGACAATGATGAGATATTTCCGAAACGGACTTCTTCAAGTAATTTATAAAATTCGAGATCATTTTCTTGTCGCCGTGAATGTGTTAGAAATAAGGGATAAAATAATTTCCATATAGGCGAATAATACACGGGTGTTCCACTTACTGGTGGAAGTTGTGCAAGATCGCCTACTAATACTACATTGACTCCACCAAATGCAGAAGCATTGCCATGTATCTTTGCAAATAAGTCTGAAATAAAAGAAAGTAATTGTGCAGATACCATTGATATTTCGTCAATAATGAGCGTTCTAACCTCACTCAATGCTGACCTTAATGTTTGATCTGTAAATGCACGTGTTACAAAGGTCCCACCCTGATGCGTAATTCTTAAAGCCGAATGTATTGTTTTCCCATCGATTCTCTGCGCAGCTACCCCTGTCGGTGCCATTAATAGAAACTTTGATCGATGCTCTGTCAGAAATTTAGTCAATAAATGAATAATATACGATTTGCCTGTACCAGCTGAACCAGTTACAAAAAAGTATGGATATTGTCTGTTTGATTAATTACCAAGTTTGTTAGTTAGTACATTCATGACTTTGTACTGATCTTCAGGCAGATTGATCATTAATTGTGGAGGCGTTGTAGGGAGTATAATCTTAAGATGATCGAGTTGATGTTTGATAACATCAATGTTGAAATAAGTAATTTCATGTTCAAGCTTATTTAACAGATCATTCAATGTTTGGTTGAATTGATTAGTTAGCTGAAAGCGGTAGTGTTGTAAACTTACAGTTGATTCAGTAAGCATCTCTGATCTTTGTTCAGGAAATAATGATAAATAGTGTTCTCTATATGATTCATACGGTCCACGCAATTCAGCCTCACTTCTCCAGCTCCTTTGACGGAGGAGTTGTTGATAAAAATAAGGTTCATTGTCACTTATGCGTAAAGGGCGTAATCGTATAATTAATTCATTTTTGCGTGGTACTACCCGGTTACCAAGTAAATCATAATATGATGTTCGAGTCCTTGATCTAGATGCAACTGTGGTGATGTCATACTTGCGATAATATTGTTCATATGTAAGACATTCAAAAATAGGAGTCCGTGGACGAGCAAAATATTTCTCAATAGTATCCTTATAATATGGTTTTTCTTCATTTTGCAGTATTAACGATACAGGCATGATTGCCCGAGTACGCATAGAGGGTGGATCAGTGGTTAAAAAACGTACTGCCATAGAGGAATTGCATATAGGTTCACCGAGAATCATAAACATAATTTCCATTGAACTCATACGTCTTGCTGTAATATGCTGATAAAAACGATCCCCCTCACGAATATTGAAAACGTGGGATGGTTCTGTCTTGGCAATATATTTAGTCATGTATCGTGCAAAACCACGTGAACTGACATATTGTATGTTCATATGAGCATCCCATGCCAATAATGTAGGGGGGTGATAAGGGACAACATATTGATCTTGCTCACGTATGCAACGATATATGAATCGTCTAGTTTCAGCATCTTCATACGTAATCGGTGAAAATTTACGGGGAAACCCTTTTTTGCATTGTTCTCCAGGTAATGGCGGGCCGCCGCATTTAATAGGGTTACACGTATGGATTTGATGAGCCATGACCTTCGCATATAATTCCGGTTCTTCATCCGGATTAGGTAAGTCACATCTGATAATATTATTATTGATCATCTCACATATGGATGTTGTGTTCCACAGACAACCGTGAAGATGCACTGCACCACGGTTTTGAAATTCAAATCGCTCAAAAAAGTGACTAATGTTACCCCATTCAGCTAAACAAGGTACTTTCCAAATGTGCTGTTTTAGTGTACGATAGCGATGCAAAAAATAAGTTGTCACATGATAAGGACGATTCGTAGGTATAGTGTCATGATTGTCTGTAGAGCGCAGGATACGTTGTAAATTTTCCCAGCGAAACTCAGCCATAGTAAGTGTGATAAATAAGGAAGGCAGTCCAAGTTCGTTAACCATGGCATTTAAGTGTAATTCTCTTCCTTTGAAATATGTGTCACCAGTGCGAATAAAAGACGGTAATGTCACTGATTTATCTTCATCGACTATTAAACGTCCATTGTATATACTTCTTCTTAGCAGTTCTGGTCCAGTCGGAAGGGAGGAAGTACCATTAACATTACGTTGTCGGAGCAGACGTTGACGATTCTGATGATTCCTTATTTTTTCAAGTTGAAGATAGGACCAGGCAGGCCAAGTATGGTGTAAACGAAAACGTGGGTCTATACCCATTATTCTTCGTTTAATGTATTTACCATATGTTTCAATATTTGTGTAGCTATTATTAGCATCACGATAATGTCCTCTACCATCAGGAAATAAATCAGGAAATAATAACGGTTCGAGATTTGGATCGCTAATTGATATGGGGAGATTGTTGCCATCAGCGGAACAAAGAAAACCTGCTGCTAATCGTGAATACAATGAATCTTCATTATGCACTTCTTCTG